AAAATCTAAACATCAAAATAAGCTTATTTTAAAGTCACATTGTGCCTTATTCTCAATATGAAATAATAAACTGCATACAATAACGCCACATTAAAAAATATTCATACACAATAATTATTTGGCAACGTCGGTCTGGTCTGGTTTGGCCGACCGAGTAACGAGTAGTAGAGGTGGGTCGTGGTAGTTTTATCGTTAAGAGCGTAGGCACAAAATTTCGTGCCAATATTTTTTAAATGCATTAATTTTTTGCGAATCCTGAGAAAACTAATAAATATTTTTGAAAAATTTAAACGCAGAATGAAACAATACATTATTACCGAGGGCCGAAAGTCCCTGAAAACTTCTATAATGTTTATTTTAATAAGTTATAGGGGTGAAAAAAAAATTAGTGTGATTTTTAATTTCAAATATCTCATTCAAAAACCTTTTTGTTTATTCTAAGGGACTTTCGGCCCTCGGTAATAATGTAATCTTTTATTCTGCATTTAAATTTTTCAAAAATATTTGTTAGTTTTCTCAGGATTCCAAAAAAAATGAATGCATTTAAAAATTTAAATTTTTGTAAACAAGTAACTATGATTGTTTAAAAGTAGTTTTAAGTAAGAGAGTACCTACATAAACAAACATAATGGCTATTATCGTTTATGTGTATATTTATTGAAGTGAAAGAAACTAATGATTTATTTATTATAACTTGAAAAATAAACTAAACAATACAAATAGTAACTCGTACTTACATTTACATTACACGTTATTATTAAATCGCGAATAGTCTAAATTGACATTCAAAAACATAAGTTTTTCAACTTTACTTCTTATTAACCGTCTTCTTTTTTTATTTCAAATTAAACCAGATTTTGAACATGTGTTCACATTTACAATACTAATAGTGGTTAAGTTAGGATATACATGGCGATGGTTTTTCCACCGTTGTAATGGACTCTCGATTCAGGTGTACGTGTAGATGAGCCATCTCCAATTAATTGATCAAAAATACACCATGGATTTAAGTCATCTTTATTGGTTTCTTTTTCTTGTACTGGTTGATTTTCAATAGTACAATCTTCTTGTTCGTTAATTATAGAAGTAACCAGCTTCTTAACTTTTTCTTTAATTTTTTTATCTTCATTTTTATCAGAAAAACCCTGCACTTTAAATGGTGAATCCATAAATGTACATAATAACAATGTGCCACTCTGTTCTATCCCTTTAAATCTTTTTGCTAAACCCGATATTAGTAATTGTACTACGTCGGATACTATGGATGTAAGGTTTGCTAAACCTTATTGCTAAATTTACCGTTTGCTAAAATTTTATTGCAAGATTCTTGCAGGCAGCGTACCATAACAATCACTGAACTACCCTTCAAGTATTTTTGGTCACTCATTGTACTTGTTATTTCTTTAAACGGCCGTAAAATTTGGGAAAGCTGAGAACAAATAATCCAGTGTTATTTATTTAGATTTGGTCTATAGTCTGTATTATTTAATACCGATGTGGAACGGATTGCCTCTTCTAACTCGGTCATTTTTTTTAACATGTAGTAGGTGAAGTTCTACCTAGTTTCCACGTCTTGGATTGGCCGTTTGGGAACTTTTTTATGTTGTAATTAATACTTTAAAAGCCTTTCTGAAGATAAGGTACTTTTTTTTAAATGTGTTTTTTGCAGAATTGTCGAAAATAGGACTTTTTATTTTATCTATTATCAAATCAGTTTTGACATAACATTCCTGAAGTAATGAACCTGACAGTTTTTCTTGTTGGCAGTTTATATCCAGGAATCCACCCTGCAAACTTTTTAAAAGCTGGTTCTTCACCTATGGAAAACGGATGAAACGAGTCTTTGCATAAGTTTAGTAAATCTTGAAAATCAACCAGTACAAGAAAAAGAAACTGATAAAGATGACTTAAGTCCATGGTGTATTTTTGATGAATTAATTGGACGTGACTCATCTAAACATACACCTGTATCGAGAGATATAAAAGAAGTCGACATGTATTTGTCTGATGATATATTACCCACAAAAAATTTCGAACGGAGATTGGAACTGTCCATTACCGTGGTGGAAAAACCATCGTCATGTATATCCTAACTTAACCACTATATTCATAAAATATTGTAGTATGTATTGTAACAAAATCTTTTCCTTGTGAACACATGTTTAAAATCTGGTTTAATTTTAAATAAAAGAAGAACACGGTTAACAAGAAAGTGGAAAAACTTGTTTTTAAATGTCAATTTAGACGATTCGCGATTTAATAATGTGTAATGTAAATGTAAGTACTATTTGTATTGTTTAATTTATTTTTCAAGTTATAAGAAATATATCCTTCGTTAGGTTCTTTCACTTCAATACTTATACACATAAATGATAATAGCCAATATGTTTGTGTACTCGCTAATTTGAATACTGGTAAACAATCAACTAGTTACAGTTTACGAAAAACGGTTCCGATAAAAATTTAAAAAACGAGAGGATCCACCTCTAGTTTTTTAGGTATATTAGGATCGGAACCAGAGAATATGTAAAATATCTCTGATCGGAACTATTCGTCTCACGAATGAGCAATGAGTGTTAAAAATATTTATGGAGGGGAGACCAAGGGGAAATATGATTGTTATCTTTGTCTATTCGCTGAAAATATGATTTTATATCTGCGTTAGATATCCTGTTAAATTTTACCATACCGACCATAAACTTTTACCTACACTGTGTATATATACATATATATATATATATATATATATATATATATATATATATATATATATATATAAAACTATTACAAAAATTATAGTTTTTCCACCAACACTAGTCTCATGATTGTGATTTATATAGTACATCAGTACAATTACATTTTATTTTATTGTTTTACATTTCTGCTTAATATTAAATGTATTTCTGAAAATTAGAGATTTGTCAATAGTAAAATTTGCAATACTGTATTGCGCAAGGGTTTTCCTAGGCAGTTAACGACCCAATTGGAAGCGTTAAGTACAGTTTCTGTGACTTCCAGTGTTTATTAGTGACTGGTCGTTGTTACTAAGGTGATATTGTCGGAGAGAAATTCATCAGAGTCGATTCAACGACAATGGCACCAAGAAACCCAAAACGTGTTGACTGGTCGCCAGGAAAGAGAGCTAAAGCAATTTTCCTTCGAGAAGGATAATTACACATATCAAGAAATAGCAAACAAATTGGTAAGACAAACACCGGAAAGACAAAATCAGCAAAAAGAACAGGAGGAAAACTGAAAGTTAGTCAATACAATGAGCATAGAATATGCCAACTTTCTTTAGAAGATCGTCAGAGATCCACAAAAGAAATTAATGTTATTGTCAAATATTGGACCGAACTATGAGAAGAAAGTTGTGTGAAAATGTATTGCAAGCATGAACTCCTAGAAAGAAGCTGTTCCTTAACAAAAAAACAGGGGCAAAAACATACTGATCGGGCTTTGGCACACAGAAAGTGGACACAAGAACAGTGGAGTAAGGTAATTTGGAGCGATGAAACAAAAATCTCTATCTTTGGGAGTGACAGAGTGAAGTTTGTTCGCCACCTACTGAGGAGAGATACTCCAAGTAAAATTGCTACTGATTATCAGAAATTTGTTTGAAGGGGGTGCCCAACAATGCTTCTTCCAGCGGGATGGAACACCTTGTCATATGGCTAAGACTTCCATGGAATGGTAGAGAAAGCATGACGTTACTGTCCTGTTTTGGCCTAGAAATAGTCCCGTTCTAAATCCAATAGAAAATGTATGGTCAAGGCTGAAAGGGGTAGTACCACGGCTAAACCCAAGTAACAAGAGAGAACTGATAGAAGCCATTATTCAAAACTGGTTTAGAGTTATGCCAGAAGATTTGGCTTGTCTATTGAAATCAAGTATGTCCTAAAAAACAAAGGTTATCCCAACAACTACTACTTTTATTGATAATCACCATTGTACCATTTTTTAAAACTATATCCACTAATAGCTAGCAGTCATTATTTCATTTCTTTTTCAATTTTAAGAGGGTTTTCATCTTAAAATAGATGTTAAATATTAAGTAGAAGCATAAAACGATGCAATAAAATTAAAGATAAACTTATAAATAACATAAGTCTTGTGAAAAAGAGGAAATGCATGCCCAATTGTCTGTTCTTTATTAAAGAATGATATAAAATATGTTTTCAATAACTCTCTATTTATTTTTTTAATCATAGCATCCTTTGTTAATCATAGTATGGTGCCATTTATTAGTTATATTGCGATTTAAAATGACAGAAAAACTACTTTTAGTCTTTGTATACAATTTTTTGAAAATTATCTTTTACACAAACCTTCTGATAATAAACAAACAAAAAAATTTATCTAATTTGGTGCAGTTGTTCTGTGATCAAGTGATGCCCATACAAACATTTTGGTGATTCATTTTTATTAATACAGATTAAAATGGGGAATAATGGATATAATAATAAGGTAGCATTACTTCCTCAGTATCCCCTCAGCTATTCATTCTCTTTTTCATGGTGTAGAAACACATGTGCCAAAGCCCACTACTATGTTAGGCGAAATACCAGACTGAGATAAATGTGAAGACAACCTCAGAACAATTAGGATACTGGCTCTAACTTGATGCAACTAGGTCAATATCCAAGTTACTTGGAATCTGACTCAAGAGTAGAAATTTATTACTACCTGGAGTATCTTTTTCTACGTTCAGATATAGTAAAAATAATTTTGTGTATCTGTATAGACTACTCAAAGTATGGCTTAAAAGCAATTTTACTCTATAACAGAGGTTTCAATGCTTCTATTCTTGTTGGACATAGTGTTCTTGAAAGTGATCTATGAAAACTTGGCAATGATTCTTCAAAAACTCAAATATGAAGACCACAGTTCAGCAACAAGCAGGTTACATCAAATGCCATTGTTTTTTATGTCTATGAGACTGCCAACTAAACTTGTATAATGAGGCATTGACTGCAGTACTTACTACCAGTTTCACTCACCTGAGTTATCTTCATCTGGTTCATTCTTTAAGTCTCCAAGAAAAAGGGGTGTAATTAGCTGACTTTCTATATATCCTTGGTCATCTTGAGCAAATTCTTCCTTAATTTCAGCTTTTACTTCTATTGCTAATGAATACCAATTACATACATTTTTTAACATTAAATTTTATTATTGTCTTACCTAATTTATCTTCTGGTTCATTGGAAGCTCCAATATTATTTGTTGATGTGTATACCTGACTTTCTACATGTATTTCACTATATTCGAGGAACTCTTGCTTAACTTCAACGTGAAATTCCATTGCAAACAAATAAACCAAGAAGAAACATTGGAAAGTGGAAACATATAAAAATGCAAAAGTAAAAAGTATATACAAATTTCCCTACAAATGATAAATGAAACATGAAACGTCAAATTTGCGTTTGTTGCGGTATTGCCACAGAATAATAAACATAATTCTGTGGTATTGCCATGTCCTTATTAACATCTTATTAAAGGTCGATTCAGATACATCAGTCACGTCTCGTCACAGTGATTGCGCCGAACCGAACAATCCGTCATACAAAATATTCTTTAATACAAATATGTTGCCGGCATTCACACTCATCAGTTGACAAACAGTTTCCCAGCTGTCAGATAGTTCTCTACTTATATATATTTAATCTATGTCTGTGACCAAACAGGATCGGTTCGGCGCCGAGACTATGATGGGACTGATGTGTCTGAATCGGCAGTTTTGTTCGCGGCGGAGGGAGACAGTCCCCATAGATAAAATTACACCTAGATTGGTAACAGGGATAGGCAATGTCAAATCACGTTCGGAGTTAGGCGCCCATACGCCCATTCGTATGGTGGCGCTGCTAGTCTATTTTCTACGCGGAGGGAGTGTGCTGTGGTCAAATCAAAAGTTGAATTTAGACAAATACGGCGCCATATTTGTATTTGTTTTATTTTTATAATTTATTTTATAGTTTAAATTTTTTTATATAAGTAGTGCAAAAAGGTAAAATTTTAGACGATTTTTTATTATGGAATCGAACACATTACATGACATGGAATAACAATGTAGAGACGAAGAACTGAACAAAAAAGATGTATTCCAAATTGCATGGATACTAGGCAAGCACTAGATATGTTTGATAAATGGGTGAATGCTGTTAAAAGCCCTAATTAGAGAATGCTGCAACAGAAACTATTTATAACAATTTTCGTGTATGCTCTAGTCATTTTAAAGAGGATGATATAATTAATGTTGGACACACCGCTATTACGAGAACAGCCCTTCTGAGTTTGTTTTTACCAGCACCAGGTAAGAACTATTATGCCAATATATGTATGTATGTGACCTTTTACTTATAAAATTGGTTAATTATAAATTTAACCTAAAATTATATATTATAAAATCAGTCTTACTTGCTTACTATTTGAATTATTTTGTAGGTGGTGGTTCAACAACTATCTTAACAATCATCACCTTAGAGAGGGTTCGACATAATTTCTACAGGTGTGCGCCTTTCAAAGTTGGATTAGATTAGCAGATCATGACTACACTATCATATGAAGAGGTCTATGAGCTTGCCTGTTAAGTGCGAGGAGGAATCTGTCTCTCTCTTGTAAGTGAGATTGGTCTTAGAGTACCATATTACCATGGTTTGTCTCATCTATGTACTTACTTTTAATGTTCCATTTTGTAGAACAACCTAAATCTAAATGTATTTAATATGTCTCTCAATAATTATATAAATATTAGTAGAAAAGAGTTACTGGTAACATAGAGTTTAGAAACATAACTTTGTAAAATACTTCATGTTTTTATTGTAACTAGGTAATACTTTACATATTTTTTTATTTTTAATGTTATTTTTCCATCTTTATACTGCTGGATCTTAGAATCGTAGAGCTAACTGTTGGGTTTATAGGTTTTAATATGACTAAAATATTATCATATAAATGTATATAAAGTTCTTTCTAGAACTAAATCATTTAATTTTTCTGTTTCCAACTTAGTAGAGATCTTGAGTTCTGTCTTTTCTGGGAGTAGAATGCCAGACAGTAAGAGTTCCTACTGGCCGCTGGTAGTGTGTGTTATTAAATTAGGATGTAAGTACTACAAAGAACTCGGAATGTCTGACGGCTATATGTTGCTTATTAGGCTTTAATTTGACATTAGAATTCCAAAAGAATTATTTAATTACTGACAAGTTCTTGTCACAACATTAAGAACACTAAATTATACTACATTTACCCGTCCCTATTTGTGAACAAAATATTGCAACTATCTTGGTTTATTTTTAGCTCCAGCTGATTTACAGCTAGATTGAAAATCTGAATTTTCCAATCTTGGTTCATAATTATCATCAGGTTTTTGAACAGGTAAATTTTCTGTCACATCTGGCATTGATTTAGTAGTGGAATTCTCTAATGTGTTATTTGGACTTCATCTTCATCATTAGTGTGATTCAATAATATAACAATTCAATAGTAAACTTCTTATATAGTACAGAGCTCCTGGTAAAGCAGTTTTTCATTTAGTGATGTCTAAATATTTGGTTTTTAATGCTAGATTCACCAATTTCTATATAACTCATTGTATCTTTCAACTTAACCATTTCCTTCATGATTATATGGTGTTGTTCTACTTGAAATATTCCTTTAGAGTGTAGATACTTAATAAATTCTTGTGAAGTAAAGCTAGTTCTCCTTGTCAGATTTTATATATACCAGCATTCTATATAAACAAAATAGTGATTTAATCTGTGATTGGTTTGAATTGCTTTCCTACCAGATAATGTCTGCATTTTTTTAATACTTCAATGCATTTGCATGTTTTCATTCTGAATCTGTGAGAGTATGTGTGAAAAAAGCAATTGATTTTCCCCATTGATTGCTTCGCTTATGTAATTATAGACTAAATTTATTACAAGCATGTACTTATCTTTGTCTTCTAGGGATTTATCTTTGGATTCATTGCTTTCTAAAAAAATCTTGAATGTTATATACCAATGTTTGAATTCTTTGCGAATTATGAGAATAAAATTGTAGTAAAAGGCCTTTTGCAGAATTAGGCTTCTATTTACATAAAACTTGACATACTAAGACAAAACAATTATTTAAATACTGGCCAGTTCTTGCCACAACATTAAGAAAACTAAATTATAGTACACTTGGCTTGTATTATTAATATTTCTTGTAACACATATAACATTTCTTGTAATATTTTTATAAATAAAGATTTTATTCTATATTTTATTCTTTAATTTTGTTAACCACTTTGGCATTTTAATGTAATGTAAAATAAATATAGTCTCAACATAACAAGAAAACCCAAAAAGTATACGAAAAATATTTATTATCGTATAGGATAAGGATTTTTCTTGTTATTTTAGGATTATATCGATTTTCCTTTACTTTAAAATGAGTTCACAATCCTAGGTAATATTACTAAGCTTTTGAATTTCGCGCCATATATTTATAGTTAGGCGCCCGATCACTAGGTGATGCGCCAATCATTGTTTTACTCATCAACACGGAAGTTTCAATGCTAGGTGGTAGTGTGCTATGACAGTCCCTGACTGGTTTCTGACAGTTTCGCATGTGCAGTTCTGTTTTCAGGCGTTCGCGGTGTTAAAAATCCGGGACTTTGACAAAGAGTTCGATGTTCGCGGACAGTTTCAAACTGGTTCATGATCAGTCCATTTGGGTCATGGATTAGAGTGCGGATTTTTCTTCTTCTTCTTGTTCTTTTTTTGGGCTATGTCCTAGACAATTTACCCAGTTTACTTGGGGGTAGACACTTTTTGTCTTGTTTCAGCAATCAGTGTCCACCTACACTTATATTCTTCCTTTGTTTGTTTTGGATTATTCTACATGTATACTTGTGTTGGTATTTTTCTTCTTTATATTCTTCACAGGCTAAAATTTTAGTAAGAACACAACAAAGGTATAAACTTTTCTCGCTCGGGGGTAGCCTCCAAGCTTTGCACACACCAGAAATGCTACCGACGGATAAATTAGAAGCACCCAGGACTGAAAGAAGGAAGATTATAATTTACAATTTAATATTGCAGGTAGAAATAAAGTTGCATGAGGTGTTTATTGTATTGTCATTAATATTTGTGAGGATTGTGCAAATATTTAATGGGAGTAGGAAGTTTAGTTTTAGGTAATTCGGCATACAAGTCGAAATGTGAGTTTTGGTTTAAGCGACATTCTAATAAAATATGGTTTAAGCCTCCCACTTGGCCACATTCGCAATAAGGATCATCTTTGACTCCAATTCTAAATAGATGAAGAGGGGATGAGCAATGACCTGTTCTCATACGGATGATTGTAGTTAAATGTCTCCTACTGATATATGCGAATTTATTGAAGAGTGCTGATTTTTAGTTAGCGCAAACGCTATAGAAACTGTAAATTGTCAGGTTTTGTGTTTGTTTTTTTTTTGGTCAATCGTTAATATACTAACTAACCCATTATTTATTTTTGTTGAGAAGTGGCAATATAATCTTTACGTTTCGACATCTTTAAATAAATATAACTAAAACTCTAAATCTTTTTAGCGATATAAATTAAAAAATATAAAAAAGTCACTTAATATTTTATTGCATTATAAATATGGAACTAAACACAGTACATATATTTAAGCATCTTAAGAAAATTAATGTTATTTTTAGATAAGCGATCATGTTACATCCAGCGATGAGGATTTAGAGAAAATTCTGGACGTTCAGGGTCATTGATAAAAATTTCATCTCCGTAGACATCGTTCCGTCTTACTACACTATATAGTACCACAGAATAAACAACAATTTATTATTATTTATTATTGGTTATTATTAAAAACTGGAAAAAAAAAGCACGAAACAGGTCAGAATGGAGAAGAATCCTTGAACAGGCAAAGACCCAAAAAGGGTTGTCGAGCCAGTGATGATGATGATTGGTTATTATTACAATACCTCCCTAGATGTTCCACGACAATACTTTAGTTGGATATGAAATTCAGCGCTCCATAAAATTTTAATTTTGGTGGGAAAATTTATTTGAAATTAAAAATGTCATGCATTTTTTTTTTCAAATATACCAAATTATATTTAAAAATTTTAAACTTTATTTAAAAAAAAAGCATGACATTTTTAATTTCAAATATACACAATACAATTTAGGAAAAATAAAACAAAATGTAAATTATTTATTTATTTAATACTTGTAAAACAATTTTGTAATTTAATATAGAATAAAAATATGCTATTATCACTGAAAATTGTACAATTTTATGGAAAAAGCTTACAAAAAAGTCAGAAAAATAGCAATTTAAAATTTACTGAAATTACATAAATCGTCAATATCACAAAATAAAAAATAATAAAATACACAATGTATTGCAAAA